GTTCCCCTCCCCCTTTTCTGATGAAGGGTCTAGGCCCGCAGCCTCTCTGCTCCTATGATGCTGCTTGACCTGCTGTGTTCATCCAGCCCTGCACCTTGTTGTCTCGGATTCACCAGCGTCTGCAGTTCCTACTATCTTTGATAGACCATGAGTTTTGTTTTCGCTTTTCGTTCACCATGATGATTCAGGTACAAGAGGCTATCAATATACGTAAAGATTTATCATACATATTTTTTTTAAAAAAAGCACCATGTTACACTATACACAAATTATTTGAAACAGTCTTATTTCAAATATCAGCCATAAGGGTTAAACCCTTTTAAACAAAACACCACCTATACAGATAGTCAAACTTCAGGGAAGAGTCATTCTGTCTCCAGTTTTAAAGTTCCATGTTCACTTGGCCTGACGGAACTTAGTTTCTCGGGCTTTCTCTTACTGATGTCTAAACAATTTCAGAGCAAATACATGGTTTTCCATACGCTCAGCTTCCAGCAGTTTTCTGTTTCTGGCTGCTTTCCTCTTAAGCCACTCAGAACTTCTTCCCAGCCCTGATTGCTTGGGGATTGCTAAGACTAACAGCAGCTTTTTGTTCTGACTGAACATGCACACACTGTCTGACCCTGTGCATGGTTCTATCTGTCTGTGATACTGCACTCCTGCTGCTAGGCAACAGAAGATTTTGTAGCTCTGGCATCGTTTATCCCTGATGCACAGAATTGTAATGTCAAACTCTAATCCAATGCAATGAACCCTCATTAAAGCTGCGTGTATCAACAAAGTTAGGCACCAGTCATAGAACGAATCTGAAATGAAACTGAAGCCATGCCCCTCCCCCACTCCAAAAAATTGTACAATGCAAATCAAACTGAAAGCTACACATATCTTTCCAAATAATAATGTATCATGAACCTTCATTACTCAGAACCATTTTTTTTAAATTAAAAATACCAGGTGAGGTTTATATTTGGTGATGATACCTGCTCGTGTCTGAGTATTTTTACCTTGTTTTGTAACTAATCCTTTCAAGCAGTTTGTGGGGAAAAAAAAATCTGTTCTTGGTATTGAGGTTAATGATCTGTATTCTAAAGTTTTAATCATTAGGAAAGTTTGAACTACAGGCCCAGCACTGTCCCTTCTTAAACAACTTTGTAACTTGCAGTAACTTCATTCTTTCCTTGCACCTTAAACTCCAGAGATTGATTTGTGATCAGTTTTATTATCCAATATTGTTTGGAATCTTGGAATTATCAAAAGACTTCTTTGGAACTGTTTATAGAGCAAGGGTTTTTAAGCATATCTTAGACATTTTCTCTGGTCATTCTTGTTCCTTTGGTTAAATGAATCGAGTTAATTGTTGAGACAGCAAAACCCATGAAACTTTGGGAAAGAATGGGCTTGATTTCGGGTTTCGTTCACATTTTTTTTCTCTTTTATTTGCTGAGACCAGGTTAACTAGTATTACTTGCAATTCATACTGTGCACATGACTACCAATTTGGAATTGAGACCTTTACCTAACAATGATTTAGAACTGAAATTGTCTGCTTGTTTCTCAAATCCCTTATCTGTCACAAGTGCCCACAGTAACTATTTGGTTTTCCAGTACTGCTATCAATATGTTTTTGTAATTAAACCAACAGAGATTCCTGTTTTTGCAGCATTTTACTAAAGAATATCCATCTTCTGGACGAAAGAGAGGCTTGACATTCGAAACCAAGTACCGACGCATATACGGAGTTGGCTTTGGACGTACTAATCAACGGATATTCACCAAGCATTTCAGGGAAGGGATTACCAGGAAAAGGAGAGATGAAAGGGTAAGGATTTGTACATTTGGAAGCTCATTTTTGAACTGATGGCTGGTGTTTAGTTGATGGGAACTGAAGTTCAACATTGCTGATATGATATATTTGACCTTTCATTCTCTATTATTGGTTTATATTTCTTCTTGCTTCTTCCCTCTTTTCTTTGTCCTGCTATATGTGATAGGGTAGATAAAGGTAAACTATTTCAACTGGTTGGAGATCCTAGAACTAGGGCCGTAGAATCATGTAGCATAGTAACAGGCCCTTTGGTCCACCATGTCTATGCCGACCAACAGACATCAAACTACACTGATCTAATGTACCTGCACGTGGTTAATAGCTTACTAGCCCTAGCATTTTAAGTGCTCATCCAGATGTTTCTTAAAGGTTGCAAAAGTGCCTGTCGCCGTCACCCTCTTAGGCAGAGTGTTCCATATTTCTATCACCCTTAGGGTGAAAAGATTTTTTCCTCGAATCTCCTCTAAATCCACTTGCTCCTCAACTTAAACTTATGCCTTCTGGTCTTAAACACATCTGCCATTGGGAAAGATTCTCACAATCTACCCTGTTTATACCTCATAATTTTGAATGCTTCAATCAGAACCTCCCTCAACCTCCGCTGGCCCAGGGAAAACACAAACAGCCTATCCAGTGTCACCTCATACCACACTTTTCATCCCAGGCAACATCCCAGTGAATCTCCTCTGTACCCTCTCCAGTGCAGTCGCATTCTTCTAATAGTATGGCAACCAGAACTGCATGCAGAATTCCATTTGTGGCCGAGCCAATGTTTTATAAATTTGTAGCAAGCTTCCTTGCTCCTGTATCCTTCGCTCTTGTTAATGAAGGCAAGTATCCCATATGCCCTCTTCACCACTCTGTCTACCTGTGCTGACATCCCCAGGACTCCATGGACTTGCACACCAAGGTCCCTTTGTTCCTCAGTACTCCCTGGGGATCTACCATTAATTGTGTATGTCTCCCCTAATTAGACCTCCCAAAATGTATCACCTCACACTTATCAGGATTAAATTCCATCTGCTGTTGCTCTGCCCAATTTACCAGCTCATCAGTATCAGATTGTAGCCTGAGACCATCCTCCTCAGTATCAACAACACCAATATTCGTATCAATGTGAAATTGCTTAATTGTATCATCTACATTTGTGTCCAAGTCATTAACATACATAACAATCAGCAAGGGTCTCAGCACTGATTGCTATGTTACACTGCTGATCATAGGATTCCAATCACGAAACAACCTTCCACCATCACCCTTTTACCTTCTATTTTTAAGTCAACCTTGGATCCAGTTTGTCAGCTTACCTTGGATCCCATGGGCTTTTACCTTTTGAACCAGCCTTCCATGTGGGACCTTGCCAAAGGTCTTACTGAAGTCCAGGTAAACCACATCAACTGCACTACGATTATCAATATATTAAATCAATTAAATTAGGCAGACAGGATCCCCCTCTAACAAATCCATGCTGACTATCCCTGGTTAATCCCTACCTTACCAAGTGTTGATTAATCCTGTTCCTCAGTTTTGAAACCTGTATACCCTGGAATTTGAGCTGCCAGTCCTGCCCTTCCTTCAACCATGTCTAAGTGATTGCAAGAATATCATATTCCCACATGCTGATCAGTGTTCTAAATTCATCCACCCTACCAGTCAAACTCCTTGAGTTAAAATTGATGCAGTATTGCTTTCTGGACCTCCCATTTGACTGTGTTTTCTTCACTTGCTGGTGTGTCCTATTATGCCTTCTACATCTGATTGGTCCTTGCTACTGACTTTATATGTCCTCTGTGCCCCATCCCCCTACCAAATTAGCTTGTACCAAACAGCACGAAATAACCCTTTAGCAAAGATAGTGGTTCCATTCTGATTCAAGTGCAATCCCTCCAGCTTGTACAGGTCCCACCTACCCCAAAAACTGTCCCAATGATCCGAACATCTAAAGCCCTCCCTCCTACACCTGTAGCCACACATTTATCTGACCTATCTTCCTGTTCCTGGTAGTCTGAGAATTAGCCAAACCGTTCAGGAGAAATGTTAGGAAGCATTTCTACACACACATGGTGTAGATGTTTCTAAGTCTCTTCCACAAACAGCAGTGGTTACTTGATTGATTGTTAATTTTAAATTTTTGTTAAGGATTAAAGGATATGGGCCAAAGGCAGGTATATGGAGTTAGGTCGCAGATCAACCGTGATCTCATTGAATGGTGAAACAGGCTCAAGGGGCTGAATGGCCTACTCCTGTTTCTATGACTCTTGTGTTCTTTGACAATCTGTTGGGATCACGTCACATTTCACTTACAAATTATGACATATGCACCCCCTCCCACCCCCCACCCCACCTCCCCCAATTTTGAATTAAAATTTGTAAATGCTAATGTGTCCCCTTCGGTCCTTCAACCTTACCTCCTGACAGGAAGCAAAAGAAAGAGTATCTGGTTGACTTATTGTTTCAGTCACTTCCTGACTCAGCCTCTCTTCTGTACAAGTTTTGGGGTGCTCTTAGTTTGTTGCTGTCCCCGGCTGTTTTTTTTCTCTCCCAATGTTTCTTGTGATTATGCGTGACATCTCACTGATTTTTACTGCAGAAGGAAAGTTTCCCTGCTGAAATATAGCTCAGCCCTTCTAAATGTTGGCTGTATCTGAAGATAACAACTTGAATAAGAACAGGACAGTAATACTGGCTACAAGTCTATTACTAATGACATGGTGTTTGTGATTTCTGGTGATCTGTTCAGAATGCTGTGTGACTAAACATCAAGTACAGGTTTCCTCCTTTAAAAATATTTGTGCCAATCAAGCACTAATATTGAGTCCAGCATTATAGAAATAGTTTGTGTTAATCTCTCATACAAATTATGAGCACGACTAGACCATTTCAGCTTGCTGTGCCATTCAGTAAGATCGCTGCAGGTCTGTTTGTGTTTTGATTCCACATTCCCATCGATTCCCAATGACTTTTGATATTTCTAAGGCAAAAAAAAATCTACCTGTGCCTTTAAAAATATTCAGTGACCCCTACATCCACCACCTTCAGTGGCAGGGAGTTCCAAAACATAACCATCTGAGAGAAAACATTCTTCCTCATTCTGCCCTATGGGGGCAAGCTTTTGTTTTAGAACAATGACTTGTGGTTCTGGACTTAGCAATAAAAGTGAACGTTGTTTCAACATTCATGGACTTGCCTTAAACACGATCTTTCAAATGTGGAAATTATTTCTTTTAATTAATCTTTGCAATAGGTTCAGTTTAATTTATAACTTCCAATTTGATTTTTTTTTAAACTAAATAGCTTCCAAGATTGCAGAACTCCAGTTGACCCTTTGATTTCATTTTGTGTACTGTTACTGCCTGGTTTTGAAAAAAATATTGTTTTACTGAGTGACAAAGTTAGTTTACATTCAGTTTTTATTTAGTTTAATATTTCTTCAGTTGTATCAGCAACATGCCTTCCCCAATAGAAGATATTGGGAGGAGCAGTGGAATTCTGCTTAGTTGACAAATTTCTTGGGTTTGAATTCTATTGCATTGTACAGGATTAAACCCATCCCTACTCTCTCCTCAGCTTGGCGGCACAGTGGCTCAGTGGCTCACTGCCTCACAGCACCAGGGGCCTGGGTTCGATTCCAGCCTCAGGCGACTGTCTGTGTGGAGTTTGCGCATTCTCCCCATGTCTGCACGGGTTTTCTCCCACAGTCCAAAGATGTGCAGGCTAGGTGGATTGGCCATGCTAAATTGTCCGTAGTGCCCAGGGATGTTCAGGTTGGATGGATTAGACATGGGAAATGCAGGGGTAGGGGAATGGGTTTGGGTGGGATGCTCTTCGGAGGGGCGGTGTGGACTTGTTGGGCCAAATGGTTTGTTCCACACTGTAGGAATTCTCTGAATTCTATGAAAAAACTCAGTAATGTTCACTTTCTTTCCAATAGGAATTGCCCAGCAGTACCACAGACAAGTAACTGACATAGCCATTAGAATATGGAAGAACTCTGAACCATGGATGTATTTCCAATGTTAAATCTCGAGGACTGCACGCACTTCAGTTGGAATCTGGCCATGTGGCTATTGCAGACTGCTGTGAATGCTGTTGTTTGTTGAACTTGTTCTACTATAGTTAAGTCACAGATCAAACCATTTTTTCCAAGTACCCTTGATTATCTGGGTGTTGAGTAAAATTTTTCCACTGTTTTCTAATTAGTCTCAATAATAGCCTCCTCTTTACCCTTCTACACTAGTCTTCAGACAAGGTCTTCCAAGAATAATTCTTTAAGATGAACTGCAAGGCAGGAAAACTGCAAATGTGAGATAAAACACTGATCTGTTTAAGTTTTCTCAGAACAGCGGTGCACACAGGTTTAAAATGTTGCTGTGAGAAACCAGAAATATTAATGGTGTGTGATTGAAGGTGGACAGAATGTTTAAACATTAAACTTGTGGATTTTTCTCTGATTTTTGCCCTTGGCTGCAGGTGTGCAAGCACATGAAGCTGTTTGCTCTACTTGTGAATAGATGTACAAGTAGTTCCAGTTATTTATATTGTAGGCTTGTTGCCTGAGTTCATTTGCCTTAATTTATCTCATTCTACTGTCCTGCTTTTGATTTGAACATGCAATTGTGTGGCCAAATAAATGGTACATTAATATTCTGGTATAAGATGTAGTTGTTTGGCACTTTGTGTTTTTATTGATTCTATTCTGGTGAGAATTGTACAAATGTACCATTCTGTGTAGAGTTGGTGGAGGAGATGATTTGAATCAATGTGAGGGGACATTGGTGTGAGGAAGAGAGAGAGATTTCAGTAAAATCAAAGCTCGCAGTAAAGAGAAAACAAATTGAAAAGAGACCAGTGCAAACAGTGTACAAGTGCAAGGTATTCAAAACCTAACCAGAGGCAAATAAAAAGTCGAGACAAAAATAGCAGAATTATTCACTCGTTTTCTCAAGTCTGTCCCTTCAACATCTTCTTGAATGGCAAGTCCCCTCTACTTGAAGTCTAAGATGAGTTGTTGCACTTCCGGACTAGGTGTGCATTTGGGAAGTTTCCATTCCTACACCTGCTGAACCTTCTTTATTTAGATAGCTCTGCTAAATCTCATCCTGATGTTGGAGGGCTACATACCAATATAAAAATACACACAGTGTTAGAGAAACTCAGTAGGTGGCAGTATCTGTAGAGAGAGGAACAGTTACCATTTCAGGTCATAGGTGACTGTTTCAGAACCCCTGTAGTATTCCAGCTGTGCTGCAGATGTTATAGTCATTGATTTTATTTCCAAAAAGCAAACGTTGGGAACAGGGGCAGAAGAAGTATTTATTCTTGTTAAAGTTAATTACATAGGGGCTTTACCTTCCCAGCTAAAACATCAGTATTGGCTAATGATCAAATAAAAATATATGCTTGTTAATAAAAGTGTTTGGAATTTAGGCAACATTTAGTTGTTATACAGGTTGAAATGTTTGAATTCAGTATCTATCATCCAAGTGTGAGATACATTTATGGGTCCCTTTCCTTTTTTGAACACTAATTCGAGCAGACATTTATAAATTCTACTTAGTTTGTCCATTGGCTGTTGCAACCATTTGTATGTTTACAGGAACAACACGTGCTCTGTTTTGAGTGATTAATTGTGATACTTCAGCCATTCTCTTTCTCCTGAACCATGGGAGAGATAACATGATACTAACATCAGGTTGGTCACTTAGTTTGTCACTAAGTCTTTTCAAAAGCCTTCATGTTTGTGAAGTTCCATGCAAATATTTCCATCTAGTGTGGGAGAGATTGCCTTTAAAAATCTGATCTGAGTTTGTCCAAGAATTAACTTACATGGGTAACAAGTTTGAAACAGTTCTAACCCTAACCGTAACATTTTATCCATGATTTCTTTGTATCTCTAGTGACTTGTGCACATGCATTGGGACTGTTCAAAAGTGACTTTTCTGATGCCAGCATGTCACCCTCTCCAATCTGCTGCTGATAACATAGCTCCACAAAACTGAAGTCCTTCCTTAAATCCTTTCTTTGCAGATTGTTCTAGGAGCATCACTGTTGCTTTTCTGTGCAGTGATGTGATTACATGGCAACAGTTTGTTTATATCTCTTTAACAGTTGACCATGCATAGTCAGGTTTTATTTGAACTTGTTTTGGTGGCCACTGAAGCTCCATAGCTGTCAGGAGCTGCTTGAGGTTTGTATAAAGAATTTCATGAAACTGTGTTCTTTCATCACTATGACCACACGTTTGCTATTAATGGATTTTAGTTCTGTTGTCTTTCAGTGAAACATACTTTGAGCTGCTGTTCTTTAATCTACTTGTTTGTTGCATTAAACTTACACCTGTTTCTACAAATGTTGTGGAGTTGTTTTGTGTACTTTAACTACCTTTATGTCTAATTTAATGAAATTATTACACTGAATTGAGTGTGCCAATTAGAAAAAATTAGGATTGAAATGTGTCAAATTCTTGTGTATTATGGACCAGACCAGACACCTCAAAATACAGTAAGGGATAGCCTAGACCTTCACTTTTAAATTTATATAAAGGCAATTGTAAGATGCTGTGTTTCAGGTGTGATTCGATGGGTTCACCACTAGGTTTTAAGCAAAATACACTCTATTCTTACAACACAATACAAATACAAACAAAAAGAAGAACCGGCATAACTTTAACTCCACTGAAATACTTAAGATAATATATGATTTAACCAGTAATCATCAACTGTTCGAATATAGGAAGCATTCCATAAACACACCCTTGGCAAAGTAATTTAGCAAAGCAGTTTTATTCTGATGTGCTGCGTTCTCACCCTAGTAGCAGAGAGAGAGCTCGTGCTGTTAGTTCCAGCAGCCAGCTACCAGAAACCTTCTCACTGACTGAAAGCAAAACCAAAAACATGTCTGGGTCTGTGTGAGCCCTGACCGTGCACTCAAAACACCCAGGGATACCTCCAAGCTGTTTACCAACTGCCTGTCTGAAGCAGACATTCTGACACCTCTGTGACAGCATCTATCTGCTAGAGAAACAGCACAGAACACATCTGTCTTCAAGGTACAGTACCATCACGTGTGAATTTTAAAATGTTTAATCTATACAAATTAAATCCTCCCCCTTCAAAGTTATCTGCTCAATAAATTTCTCTTGATTGTACCTTTTGAGCAAGCATAGGAACATATGTAGGCCAATCAGTCCCAAGCCACCTTCGCCATTCAATAAGATTATGGCTGATTTGATGTGGCTCAATTCCACATTCGTACTTACCCCTGTTAACAATCCTCCAACAAAACAATTCTCATCTCTATCTTTAATGAAAGACCTCTTATTTTTGAACTGTATCTTTCAATCATGGTCTTTCCCACAACTGGAAATATCTTTCACCATCCACCCTGTCAAGTCCACTCAGGATCTGGTATGTCTGAGTAAGATTGCCTCTCATTCTTCAAAGCACCCATATAAGTGCAGGCTCACCCTATCAACATTTCCTCACTAGACTGCCCCGTGTCAGGTCTCTAGGTCAACTGAACCTTCCCTGAACTACCTCTAATGCGTTTGTATCCTAAAATAAGAAGACCAAAACTGTACAAAATACTTCAAATGTAGTCTCGCCAATATCCTGTACAACTGAAGCAACGCATCCTCATTTTTCTATTCCATTCCCCTGGCAATAAATGACAACATTCCGTTCATCTTCCTAATAACCTGCTGTACCTGCTTATTCACATTGTTTGTGATTAGTGTACCAGGACACTCGGGTTCTCCTTTCACTCAGAGTTCTGTAATCTCCTATCTATTTAAATAAAAACGTAAGATGAAGGAGCAGAAGTAGGCCATTTGGCCCATCGAGTCTGCTCTTTACCTGATTATATGCTGCTTTTCTATTCTTGCAAAACTGGACAAGGTCACATTTTCCCACACTATATTCTTTCTGCCAATTTTGTGCCCACTCATCCCATTTGAGTCCTTTGCAGGGTCTTTCTGTCTTGTGCACAATTTCCTTTCTGACTTTGTCTCATTAGCAAATGTGGCAAACGGACACTTTGCTCTGTCATCAAAAGTCGTTGATGAAGATCAGAAAAATTGGGGTCCCAGCACTGATCTTTGTGGCACTTGTTGCAACTTGCCAACCTGAAAATGACCCAATCCTCCATATCGGGCAACCACCTAGGAACCGATATTCATTTCAAGCCCACTGACTCCCATAGCTACCTAGAATACTCCTCCTCCCACCCACCTTCCTGCAAAAATGCTATCCCCTATTCCCAATTCCTTCACCTCCGCCGCATCTGCTCCCAGGATGAGGCATTCCACTCCCGTACATCTCAGTTGTCTTCGTTTTTCAAGGACCGTAACTTCCCCCCCCTCAGTGGTCGAGAACGGCCTCAACCGTGTTTCCCGCATCTCCCGCAACTCATCCCTCACACCCCGTCCATGAAATTAGAACCAAAAAAGAATCCCCCTCGTCCTCACGTACCACCCCACCAACCTCCGGATCCAACGCATCATCCTCTGACACTTCCGCCATCTGCAATCCGACCCCACCACCAAAGACATCTTTCCCTCCCCACCCCTATCTGCTTTCCGGAGGGACCACTCTCTCCATGACTGCCTTGTCCGCTCCACACTCCCCTCCAGCTCCACCACACCTGGCACTTTTCCCTGCAACCGCAGGAAGTGCTACACCTGCCCCCATACCTCCTCCCTCACCCCCATCCCAGGCCCCAAGAAGACTTTCCACATCAAGCAGATGTTCACCTGCACATCTGCCAATGTGGTATACTGCATCCGCTGTGGCTTCCTCTACATCGGGGAAAACCAAGCGGAGGCTCGGGGACCGCTTTGCACAACACCTACGCTCGGTTCGTAATAAACAACTGCACCTCCCAGTCGCGAACCATTTCAACTCTCCCTCCCATTCCTCAGAAGACATGTCCATCCTGGGCCTCCTGCAGTGCCACAACGATGCCACCCGAAGGTTGCAGGAGCAGCAACTCATATTCCGCTTGGGAACCCTGCAGCCGAATGGTATCAATGTGGATTTCACAAGTTTCAAAATCTCCCCTCCCCCTACCGCATCCCAAAACCAGTCCAGCTCGTCCCTGCCTCCCTAACCTGTTCTTCCTCCCACCTATCCCCTCCTCCCACCTCAAGCCGCACCTCCATCTCCTACTGACTAACCTCATCCCGCCCCCTTGACCTGTCCGTCCTCCCTGGACTGGCCTATCCCCTCCCTAACTCCCCACCTACACTCACCTTTACTGGCCCCATCCCCGCCTCTTCGACCTGTTTGTTTCCTCTCCACCTATCCTCTCCTCTATCCATCTTCTATCCGCCTCCCACTCTCTCCCTATTTATTTCAGAACCCCGTTCCCCTCCCCCTTTTCTGATGAAGGGTCTAGGCCCGAAACGTCAGCCTCTCTGCTCCTATGATGCTGCTTGGCCTGCTGTGTTCATCCAGCCCTGCACCTTGTTGTCTCGGATTCACCAGCATCTGCAGTTCCTACTATCTCCAATCCTCCCTACTGTTTCCTGTTAACTAACCAATCCTCTACCCACAGTAAATCTTTCACCTACACCGTGAGCTTTTTTGTTTAACAACATTTGATATGGCACCTTGTCCACTGCTGGTTGGAAATCTGAGTACAGTGCAACCACAGGTTCCACAATCTCCATATTTCATTGAATCGTTTCATAGACTCAGCCCATTGAGTGTGTACAATCAAGGTTGTACTATATCTACACAAGTCCCACTTTCCTGCACTAGACCCATAGACTTGAATATTATAACATTTCAAAGGCTCATCTAAGTACTTTTTAAAGATTGAGACTTCCCACCTCGATTACACTCCCAGGCAGTGCATCCCAGGCAGTGCATTCCAGACCCCCACCATCCGCTGGGTAAAAAAGAACTCAAATCCTCTCTAAACCTCCTGCCTTTTACCTTAAAAAATTCCCCCTTGTTATTGACACTTTATCCACCCTGTTCATGTCCCTCATAATCATATGCGCCTCAATCAGATCCTTCCTCATCCTTCTCTGCCCCAAAGAAAACAACCTGAACTTATCCAGTCCCTCTTCATTGCTGAAATGCTCCATTCCAGGCAACATCCTGCTGAATCTTCTCTGCCTCCTCTGTGGTGCAATCACATCCTTCCTATAAACGTGGTGCCCAGAACTACACACAGTGCTCCAGCTATGGCCAAACCAAAGTTCTGTACAGCTCCAACATAATATACCTGTTCTATGCCACAATTGGTAAAGATGTGTCCTGAATGCCTTCTAAACTATCCTATTGATCTGTCCTGCCAACTTCAGGGATCTGTAGGCGAGCACCCAGGATTCCTCTGAGCTTTCTAGTGTCCTGCCATTTATAGAGTACTGAGCAAAAACAAAGTTGCTGGAAAAGCTCAGCAGGTCTGGCAGCATCTGTGAAGGAAAAAAGAACAGAGTTAACGTTTCGGGTCCGGTGAACCTTCCTCAGAAGTGATGGTGGCTGGGAAAACGTCAGTTTATATGTAGAAGATAGGGGAGAGGGGTGGGGTAGGGAGTAAGCAATAGGACAGAGCCCAAAGAGAGAGAAGAGCAGTTGGACAGACAAAGAAGTGATAACGATCAGGCTGGGAGGGTGAATAGTTGTTAATGGGGACTGTTAATGACTAACAACAGGGGGTGTGTAATGGCAGGCTATGTGGGAACAAGGCCTGGTGTTTGGGGTAGGGGCTGGGAAATAGGAAAGTTTAGGCCCTAAAATTATTAAATTCGATATTGAGTCCGGAGGGCTGCAGGGTCCCCAAGCGGAAAATGAGGTGTTCTTCCAGCTTGCACTGAGGTTCACTAGAACACTGCAGCAAGCCAGAAGACAGAGATTTTGGCCAGGGAACAGGGTGGTGCATTGAAGTGGCAGGTAACAGGTAGTTCAGGGTCTTTTTTGCGAGCAGAACGCAGATGTTCTGCAAAGCGGTCACCCAGTCTATGCTTCATTTCCCCAATGTAGAGGAGACCACATTGTGAGCAGTGAATGCAGTAGACTAGATTCTGGGAAGTGATACTTCACCTGGAAGGTATGTTTGGGCCCTTGGATACTGGGGAGGGAGGAGATAAATGGGCAGGTGTTGCACCTTCACCGGTTACATGGGAAGGTGCCGTAGGGCTGTGGGGGGGTGTTGGGGGTGAAGGAAGTGTGGACCATGGTGTCCCGGAGGGAACAGTCCCTGCAGAAGGCGAACAAGAGAGGGGAGGGGAATATGTGTCTGGTGATGGCATCTTGCTGGAGGTGGTGGAAGTGGTGCCTGATGATCTACTGGACGTAGATGCTGGTGGGATGATAGGTGAGGATAAGGGGAACCCTATTGCTGTTGCGGAAGGGTAGAGAAGGGGTGAGGGCAGAAGTGCGGGAGATGGGACGAACCTGGTTGAGGGCACTGTTGACAACGGAGCTGGGGAATTCTTGGTTGAGGAAGAAGGTGGACATTTCAGAGGCTCCCTTGTCGAAGTTGGCCTCATCTGAACTTATGCAACGGAGATGGAGGAACTGAGAGAATGGGATGGAGTCTTTATGGGAAGTGGGGTGTGAGGATGTATAGTCCAGGTAGCTATGGGAGTCAGTGGGTTTATAGTGGATATTAGTGGCCAGTCTATCCCAAGAAATGGAAACAGAAATATCAAGGGAGGAGTCAGTGATAGACCAGGTGAAAGTGAGGGCAGGGTGGAAATTGGAGGCAAAATTGATGGTTCACCTTCCTGGATGAGTGCAGCTCCAATAACACTCAAGATGTTTGACACATCCAGGACAAAGCATCCCACTTGATTGGCACTACATCCACAAGCATTCAGTTCCTCTCCCCCTGAGGCTCAGTTGTAGCAGTGTGTACTATCTACAAGATGCACTGCAGAAATTCACCAAGGGTCCTCAGACAGTACCTTCCAAACCCATGACCACTTCCATCTAGAAGGATGAGGACAGCAGATACATGGGAATACCATCAACTGCAAGTTCTTCTCCAAGCCACTCAGCATCCTGACTTGGATGTATATCAGTGTTCCTTGAGCATCTGGGACCCAGACATAGTGGCTCAGTGGTTAGCACGGTTATCTCACAGCAGCAGGACCCAGGTTTGGTTCCACCCTCAGCTAACTGTATGGAGTTTGCTTGTGTTTGTGTGGGTTCCCTCTGGGTGCTCTGCTTTCCTCCCACTGTCCAAAGATGTGCTGGTTAGGTGGCTTGGCCATGCTGTACTACCCATAGTGTCCAGGGATGTGTAAGTTGTGTAGATCTCCATGGGAAAACGCAAGGTTATGGGGATTGGGTAGGGGGGATGGACCTGGATGGGTAGGTGTGGTTGGTGTTGGTTTTCGAGGGTTGGTGTGGACATGATGGGCCAAGGGGCCTGCTTCTGCACTGTAGGAATTCTATAAAAATAGACTGCAGCAGTTCAGAAAGGCAGCTTGGCACAGCCCTCACAAAACTAGTTAAGGATGAGTAGTAAATGCCCACATCCCACGAATGCATTTTCACAAACTAACAGCTGTAACCAATGCAAACGGCCTGTCACTTCACTGGCATCTGTATGTGCTGACTGGATGTAGATGAGCTGCTGCCATTACAGTCAGTGTCCCCATGATGCGTTAGTCATTCTGATTCTGCAGGGATTCAGACAGTTACCAAAATCTGCAGCATTCTTGACCCAGTGAAAAGTACATCATATGTACCCCGAGTTGCCCTTGATTGAGTCTTGTAGGAACGGGGATAAAGCAGAAGATTGACACTCAGTAATGGTGCGCATTTGAAGAGCTGGTGCAGGCATGATGGACTGTATGGTCTCTTTCTACATCGCAACAATTCTGTGATTCTGTGAAATATCAAGGTGTTGGAATATATGTCTGACCAGGTCTGGGTTGATGTTAATTTTGTTTTGGCAATATCCAAGGACAGGCTGAGACTCTTGCGTGCAGAATTGAAGAAATTGAGAGTGCTTTGTAAATCTGATGCAGAATGGACTGCAACATCGCAGTGTGCCTGTGCAATTTGGCACAGAGGTGAAGAGAGTTTTCCATTTGGGCAGTATTTAATGCTGACACCAAGGGGCAGTTGATAGTTGATCTTTGATGAGGTGAACAACCACTTTCTTGTAGACCACGAATGCAGTCACACTGTCTTGCCTGACACTGGTCCAGATTTTGAAAACATTCATTAACAGGTTGTCTGTGCCAACTCAACCTCCCAACTACAGGAACAAGTGTTTGACAACAAAGAACTCTGTGAGTCAACAAAAGTCCTCGTGTACAGAGCAATAGTTATTGCCACACATCAGAGATATGAGATCATTACAGAAATTCCACCAGCCATTGCCTGTACCACACCCTCTGGATTCCATCGGGAAATCATTGAACAACTGCTTTGTCCTTCTCAAAGCCAGATCCACAAGCATTCAGGGAAGGCTCTTGCAAAATCATCTGTGATGTATCGTGTCCGTAGTGCTTTGGCCTAGTCCTGCTTTCTCAACTCTCAAACAAATGATCATTGTTCCAGGCAAAGAAAGACCAAGAAAATGCTTCAAAGACAATCTGAAGCTCTCCTTCCAGTGCAACAACATTGATGTCATAGACTCAGAGCAACCGCAAACCATCAAGCTGCTTCACGTTTTTACTCCCACCACTTCAATGATGAGGCACAGATTGTGCACTCTGGCTGGTTAAAATTATTCGGTAGATTCTCCCAAAGTTCAGGCCTCAATGATTCATTATCACAGTGCAATCTAATTCATGAGGAATGGGCACTCTTCCCAGACAACAGCGAAACAGCTCAAGGCTGTTCAGTAGTAGAGCCATTCTAACATTGATTCATAATACATCACCTATGTTTTTAAAAAAAGACATGAGGTTGATATAAAATAAGAGAAAAAACAGTTCGAAATAATGAATGGGAACGTTGTTTCACAAAAGAGAAGTCTGGTTCCACTGGGGCTCGAACCCAGGACCTTCTGCGTGTAAAGCAGACGTGATAACCACTACACTATGGAACCAGAGACGAGCACTTGCACTCCGGCCGAGCCCATAGGCTTGATCGAGCATGCGCATTATGCGCTTCAGTTGTGTGTTGTCGGTGCCGATGGTCCTCCAAGCGCGGCTCCCTCTGTTGCATCGGCGTAAACTACAGAGGCTGCTGCAGCCGCTGGTCTGCCGAGAGCAGCGCCCTCTGCAGCACCGGCGGTAAAGCACAGCGGACGCCGCGCAGCCAGGGGGTGGGGCTGGTCCTGTCACTTGGTTGCCTGAAGTAAGTTGGTCAGTGGCAGATCATTCCTTGACTAGCACCTATTAAAGGGTTTTACAGGAACTTTGTGAAATAACAATGGACATAGATACCAACCTGATTTGTAAACTGAAATGGTTGTCCCCAGTCTTGCTCTGACAGCTTTGAGGCCATTCACTATGCTATCAAAGATAGTAGGAACTGCAGATGCTGGAGAATCTGAGATAACAAGGTGTAGAGCTGGATGAACACAGCAGGCCAAGCAGCATCAGAGGAGCAGGAAGGCTGACATTTCTGGCCTAGACCCTTCATCAGAAATGGGGGAGGGGAAGGGGGTTCTGAAATAAATAGGGAGAGGGGGGAGGTGGATAGAAGATGGATAGAGGAGAAGATAGGTGGAGAGGAGACAGACAGGTCAAAGAGGCGGGGATGGAGCCAGTAAAGGTGAGTGTAGGTGGGGAGTTAGGGAGGAGATAGGTCAGTCCAGGGAGGACGGACAGGTCAAGGGGGCGGGATGAGGTTAGTGGGTAGGAGATGGGGGTGGGGCTTGAGGTGGGAGGAGGGGATAGGTGGGAGGAAGGACAGGTTAGGGAGGCAGGGACGAGCTGGACTGGTTTTGGGATGCGGTAGGGGGAGGGGAGATTTTGAAGCTTGTGAAATCCACATTGATACCATTGGGCTGCAGGGTTCCCAAGCGGAATGTGAGATGCTGTTCCTGCAACCTTTCGGGTGGCATCGTTGTGGCACTGCAGGAGGCCCAGGATGGACATGTCGTCTGAGGAGTGGAAGGGGGAGTTGAAATGGTTCGCGACTGGGAGGTGCAGTTGTTTAGTGCAAACCGAGCGTAGGTGTTCTGCAAAGCGGTCCCCAAGCCTCCACTTGGTTTCCCCGATGTAGAGGAGGCCACAACGGGAACAGCAGATGCAGTATACCACATTAGCAGATGTGCAGGTGAACATCTGCTTGATGTGAAAAGTCTTCTTGGGGCCTGGGATGGGGATGAGGGAGGAGGTGTGGGGGCAGGTGTAGCACTTCCTGTGGTTGCAGGGAAAAGTGCCGGGTGTGGTGGGGCTGGAGGGGAGTGTGGGGCAGACAAGGGAGTCAATGAGAGAGTGGTCCCTCCGGAAAGCAGATAAGGGTGGGGAGAGAAAGATGTCTTTGGTGGTGGGGTTGGATTGCAGATGGCGGAAGTGTCGGAGGATGATGCGTTGGATCTGGAGGTTGGGGTGGTACGTGAGGACGAGGGGGATTCTTTTTTGGTTGTTATTGCAGGGACGGGGTGTGAGGGATGAGTTGCGGGAAGTGCAGGAGACACGGTCGAGGGCGTTCTCGCCCACTGAGGGGGGTATGTTGCGGTCCTTGAAAAACGAGGACGTCAGAGATGTACAGGAGTGGAATGCCTCATCCTGGGAGCAGATGCGGCGGAGGCGAAGGATTTGGGAATAGGGGATGGCATTTTTGCAGGAAGGTGGGTGGGAGGAGGTGTATTCTAAGTAGCTGTGGGAGTCGGTGGGCTTGAAATGGATATCGGTTTCTTGGTGGTTGCCCGAGATGGAGTCAAAGAGGTCCAGGAAGGTGAGAGAGGTATTAGAGATGGTCCAGGTTAACTTAAGGTTGGGGTGGAAGGTGTTGGTGAAGTGGATGAACTGTTCGAGCTCCTCGTGGGAGCACGAGGCGGCGCCGATACAGTCATCAATGTAACGGAGGAAGAGGTGGGGTTTAGGGCCAGTGTAGGCACGGAAGAGGGATTGTTCCACGTAACCTACAAAGAGGAGGCATAGCTTGGGCCCATGCGGGTACCCATGGCCACCCTCTTTGTAGGAAGTTCCAAACATTATCTCTGTGTTTCGCTCTTGAAAGAGGCTGCCTGAGTTTCTCCAGCACTTTGTGTTTTCATTTCAGCTTGCCAGCATCTGCTGTATTTTGCTCTTAGTTCACTCAAAACATGTGTTACTTTTGGAACTTCATTGGTGGAGCTTAAATATGAGCTAGGAGCAGGCCACTCTGCGTCTTCTCCTTGTTCCAACATTCAATAAGGTTATGCGGAGAGAAAGCAGAATTTATGATTCGGGTCCAGTAACCCTTCTTCAGCTCTGAAATGTTAACTCTAATTTCTCTCCACAGATGCTGCCAGACCTGTTGAGATTTTCCAATAATTTCTTTATTTTTGTTTCTGATTTCCAGCATCCACACACTTTTTTGTTTTTATTTCATTGAATAACATCGTGGCTGACCTGATTACTCCACATTCCTGCCTCATACTGATAACCTTTCACCTCCTTGTTTATCTCGAAGCTATCTATTTCTGCCTTAAAAGTGTTCAATTCAATGCTCTGTCCCCACTGCATCTTCAGAAAGAGAGTTCCACAGACACAACCCTCTGAGAGAAACACATGGATGAGCCCTGATTTTTAAACTGTGAGCCCTAGTTCTAGATTCCATAATAAGAAACAGACTGTCCACATCCACCCCGTTAAGACCCTTCAGGATCTTATACATTTCAATCAAGTTGCCTCTTATGCTTATAAACTTCAACAAAGATAAGTCTAGCCTGTCCAATATTTCCTCATGAGGCATATCACACACCCCAAGGTTTAGTCTGGTAAACCTTCTCTGAACTGTTTCTAACTCATTTCTTCAATAATGAGATCAAAACTGTACACATTAATCTAGATTTGATCTCACCTATGCCCTGAATAACTGATGTGTAACCTCCCTACTCCTGTATGCAATTCCTCTCATGGTGTTCAACACTGGTGTAGAATGGTGGCCCAGTGGTTAGCACTGCTGCCTCATAGTGCTAGGAACCCAGGTTTGATTCCAGCCTTGGGCGACTGTCTGTGTGGAGTTTGCACGTTTTCCCTGTGCCCGTGTGGGTTTCCTCCCACAGTCTGAAGAATGTGTCGGCTAGGCGCATTAGCCATGGGAAATGTAGGGTTACTGGGATTGGGGGTCTGGGTGGGATGCTGTTCAGAGGGTTGATGTGGACTCAATGGGATGAATGGCCTGCTTCAACCTTATAGGGATTCTGTTATAAGGAATGTCTATTATTGCTTGCATAAAGCATTATTGATACGATTAGCACATTTAAGGGTCAGCTAGGTCAGTACCTGAGGAAGAAAAGAACAGATGGATGTGTTGATAACATACAGAGATGTGTGGCAAATTGGCACAAACAGAGAGCAGTCAGAGGAATATCATGTCTCTGGGATGTCCATTACTCAACGTTAACCTCTCTCTTACCCTAAAAACCACCCTAAGGAGTGGAACTGAGACCTACACCCTGCTGGGTGATATCTCCATTCAGAGTTGATCCACACAGATAATTTGAAACAGTTCTGGTGATTAGATTCAAACATTCCTTTTTTTCCTGGTCCAGGAATCTGCAGAGACCGGACAGTGTGCGATAGAGAACTATTGACAAATGATGGATTAAATTGAGGATGCTAATGAGGATTGTAAATCTTTGCTGAATACTTGCGCTACCCTGCGGTAGTTGCACAGGTAAAACTATGGTTTCTAACTTTGTAGGGTGAGTATTGTAATTCCAGCATCTCAATAAAAACACTGGATGTAATTTACTCAGCGATAGTAAGAACTGCCGATGCTGGAGTCAGAAATAACACAGTGTGGAGCTGGAGGAACACAGCTGGCCAGGCAGCATCAGAGGAGCGGGAAAGTTGACGTTTCGGGTCGGGACCCTTCTTCAGAAA